TTGCTGTTACTGAATGTCTCAGAGATCTGTGAGAGGAATGAATGCGAACCAATATCAAGTTTTGCTGCTGCTATTTTATTTATAGCATTATTTCTCTTTTGAGGTTTATCTTCCGAAGATCAAGTTAGTTATAGTTACTTTACGTGGTTAAAATTAAGAAATGTGTTATTTTAAAATGTCTTTAAAAACATATTTTGATCAGTAGTAGCAAAACATTTTTGAGGGCTTCAGAGCTGAAGACACACCTGAGAGTCCATACAAGGGAGAAGCCACATTCATGTAATTTGTGTGGAAAGAGTTTTTCACATCTACAAAGTTTGAAATTACATCAGAAAATACATACTGGTGTGAGAGAGTACATGTGCTTTGAGTGTGAAAATACTTTTACTTCAGCAAACTGTTTAAAACTGCATGAGAGGATCCACACTGGAGAAAAACCGTACAAGTGTTCACACTGTGACAAGAGATTCAATCAGTCAGGAGACCTGAAAACACATGAGAGGATTCACACTGGAGAGAGACCTTACAAGTGTTCACACTGTGACAATAGATTCAGTCAGTCAGGACATCTAAAAACACATGAAAGGATTCACTCTGGAGAAAAACCTTACAAGTGTTCACACTGTGACAATAGATTCAGTCAGTCAACACATCTGAAAACACATGAGAGGATTCACACTGGAGAGAAAGCTTATAAGTGTTCACACTGTGACAAGAGATTCAGTCAGTCAGGACATCTAAAAACACATGAGAGGATTCACTCTGGAGAGAAAGCTTTTAAGTGTTCACACTGTGACAAGAGATTCAGTCATTCATCAACTCTGAAAACACATGAGAGGATCCACACTGGAGAGAAAGCTTATAAGTGTTCACACTGTGACAAGAAATTCAGTCAGTCAGGACATCTAAAAACACACGAGAGGATTCACACTGGAGAGAAAGCTTATAAGTGTTCACACTGTGACAAGAGCTTCAGTCATTCATCAACTCTGAAAACACACGAGAGGATCCACACTGGACAGAAACCATATCACTGCACTGCATGTGGGAAGTGTTTCAATCAATCATCTTCTCTACTCAGTCATACAAAAAACATTCACAGTAAGTAGATCATCTTCAGATCCAGCACTTTCAGATCTGATGCTGCAATATTTCATCAAGCAATAAAATATCATCTGGATAAATCTGTCCTAACCAGTCATTACAAGCGACATGATGAAGAAATATTGTCTAAAGTTTTCACAGTGAATAAAGTTAATCTTCATCTTCAAAACCAGCAGATTCAACTTTGAGATTCAGATCAACTCAAAGATGGAGTTCCTCCCCAAAATCAAAGTAAATGCTTCATTATATAAATAATATAATTGTTTTCTTATTCAATTCAAGTTTATTTGTACAGTGCTTTTCACGATACAAATCATTGCAAAGCAACTTTATAGCAAATTAAGTTTCTACAATATTTAGTGGTAGCTTATCAGTGGTGACTGTCAGTTAATGTACATATGGCAGAAATATATGGAAAAATAAATTAAATATGTAATCAAACAGACGATTAACACTATTAACCGCAATCATTATATGTGTAACGAAGGGAACACAGGAAGCGTGCGGATCCCTCTGCAAGGCTTTATTCACAAGAGATGTGGTCAACAACAGGCATAGGTCAGACAATGGCAAACAGGTATATTGATGGCAAGGCAAGAGGGATAATCCAGGTACAAGGCAAAGGTCCAGGCAGGGGCGAACAGTATCCAATTGGGCGAGACTCGAGGGATAATCCAGGTACACGGGCAGTGATCAGAACACGGGGAAACAGACAAGGTAAGACGATGAAAACAAGACACTAGGCTCAGTAATGCAGCTATCGCTAGATGAGTGATAAACGCAGAACAATTCACGAGACTAAAACAGAAAACACGGAACGGCACGGTAAGGCAGCTAACACTTGGGGAGTGGAAAATGCAGAACAATACAAGGCGATCTGAACAGGAACTGAGAGAGTGTTAAGTAGTGTGTGTAATGGCTCTCAGGTGAGCGTGTGAAATGTGACGGCTGTGTGATCAGTGAATTC